CTTGCTGGACTAAATTACCTCCGGCAAGAGTGTTCAGAAGTAGCACATTCACTCCTTGGGAGTATTTTTACTCTTAGAGGATCTTAGTGTCCTCCCCCTTCCCTCAGCTTTCCCAAAGAGGATAAATTCTGGAGAATTTCCCTCTAGGAAGAATGATGTATCTGAGACCAAACCTTTTAAATGTTAGGTGGGTATTAATTGCAGGGAATTTTAAGTAAATCAATTTTTTTTTTCTCTCCTACAAAGTCATAGGCTGGCATAATTTCTATTAGAAGTATCCTTTCTGGGCAATTATCCATCCATTCCCAATCCATTCTGGGGGTTGGCATTAAGGCTTTTTAATTATTCAAATTGTCAGAGTTTTCATCTTCTGGTGAAACTTTGCTGGAAGCTCCTGTGGCAGCATTGTGCATGCTTGATGGTGTAGCTAAAGTTCTTACTACTATCTTTGGCAGGCCTTAGCCAAGGCTATAAATCTGGGCTTGTCAAAACCATTATCACAACTTAGAGACTTTCTGGAGAGTTCAGTGATTCTCTTGAGAGGCTTAAGTGAAAAGAAGGCTGTGGGGACCTGTGTCTTGCTTTTTTCTCTGGGTTCTTGTTATTATCTGCTTGCACTGTGTACCTTGCCCCATAGTGTCCTCCTCCTGACTGCTCTCTCTGGATCCTGAAAAGTTAGTCCTCAGATCATGTCACTTGGGTTCTCTGGCTGGGGTCTGCCAAAGAAGCCATGGGCTACTCAGATGGTAGAGCAGAGAGATTATAGACTTTTTTTCCTGCTCTGGTGCCATGGTTTTGAGATTACAACTTTTGCTGAATCTTCCATGGCTTCAAAGCCCCTTCCATAGAATTCCATCCAAAATAGCTGTTAATGTAGTTGTTAATGATTACTTTGCCCCTCCCCCCAAGATCTCACTTCTTCTAGGCTTATCTTTCTCCCTGAACTTGGGAGCAGAAGAAGCAGAGGAAACTATAGATTCAGTCGAGAGAGGCCAAAGGAGCTTCTAGTGCCAGGCCTTTGGCAGGCCTTCCAGAAAGACACCTAAAGCCAGCCAGAGCCAGCCAGAGTCAGCCTGAGAATCCACAGGGCCCAGAAATGTGCACTGAGTCACGCCCTCAGTTGTGCACCAAGACAGTGGTGGAAGTGATGGAAGTTACACTTTTTGCCATGTCTGTTGGGCTTGTTCTGTGTGTGTTTTGTTCGTTTGTTTGTTTTTTGGCAGTTGTTGTCTCTCAGCCTTTGTTAAGAGGGCCTCTGTCTTAGCTTAGAATGGATGGGCACTGCTCAGATGCCTGAGATTTCCCAGGAGTGTGGTGTTGAGGAGGCTGGTTAGGAAGGGTATAACTGACCACACAGCAGGTGCTGGCCTGACACCTCTGTGGCCTTTTTTACCTGAGCTCAACAGCTTTTGATCCATTGTCAGGAGACAGAAGCAGTGATCCCTGCCATTGGAGAATTGGTCTCCAAAGTCCAGTGGGCATCAGAACTACCTGGAAGATTTATCAGAACACAGCTTGCTATGTTTCTGATTCAGTGGTTCTGGGGGGATGCCTGAGAACCTGCATTTACCATGCATTCCTGGGGTTTGTGGATGCTGCAAGTCTAGGAACCACTCTGGGTTCCACCACACTGGGGAGCTGCATGTTTGCACACTCACTCATCTTTATACATCCTAAGGATGCAAGAAAAAGGGGCAGGAATCTTGGGTTCTTGTTTTCACTAAGTGGCTCTGTGGCTGTGTTTCTGAAGGTGGTTTTGGTCATGAGTCATGGAAAATAGCTTGTTATTTTAAATAAGACACAGCATTTATTGGGAGGATGCTTGGGAATCTCTTTGAACTGAATGAGGAGTTGAATGGTGAAGGCAGGGGGTGGACAGAGCAGTCCTGGGGCCCTCAGCAGCTGGAGCTCATGTGCCTGCTGTCCTTTGGATCAGCCATTGGGTGGCTGATCCTTCACTCACAGCCTCTAGTCCCGCCTATTCAGATTCCAAATGCTGATGGAGGTCATCTGACTGACCCACAGGAGTGGGGCCTTGCTGCCCTCCCCCACTTGGTCAATTAACCACAGCTGGTGTGTGATTCCAGACTCAGGAAAACAGGTAGGGCTGCATGCCTTCACTTCCCTTCCCCAAGCCCGACTGCATTCAACCAAACAGCTATCAGCCCATGAGGGACCTACTATGGTGACCTTGATCATGATTTTTCTCTTTACTGGGTCTCAGTTTCCCTCTCTGTAAAATGAGGGCTTTGGATGAGTGTTTTTCACTTGAGTGTTTTTCTAGTGGGCCTTCATCATGGTGTGGGATGCTTGAAAAAAGAGACCTTCAGGCCCTGTGGTGTGCTGGTAAATGATCCACAAGTGACTTTCCAAAATAAAGCAAAGTAAAACAGAACAGCATGTAATGATTTTTAGTGCTTGCCCAATTTGTGGTATGAATAAATATTCCTACCATGGCCATTTTCAAGCCAATGACACGAAGTAACTGAATATGGGGCTGGGAAGAGAGGTACACCAGGGTTGGGCACTCCCCCCTCCCCGACCCGCTCACTGAGTCAGAACTTCTTAGGGAGGTCTTCGAATTTGCACTTCATTCTCCCTCCTCCTCAGGCCATTCTGGTGGAAAATAATATTTCAGAAACCCTGCACTCAAGAGTTTTGTATTCATTCCTTTGGCCCTTAATTCCTCCATTCTAATTGTATTATAGGTCTCACACTGGCTCTCAGAGTTGAGGAAAATTTTCCCTTTGGAGAACATGACAAAGCAAGGTCTGGAAAGATCCATGGGCCGTGGCCCAAGTGAGTCGATGGCATGTTAGCACCAGCCTGTCTGGGACTCTGTGGCCAAATCCCTCTCCCAGGCCCTTCTTGCCTGTTCCCTAGTCACTCTGGGAGGTGGGGTGCATTCTCATGTGCCCATCAGAGGGATGTGGGAGGGCATTACAGGCCCTGCCATCACAGCAGTGGGTCCTAGGGCCCATGCCACCTCTCATCTCCTGGCAGTTCAGCCGCCGCCATCCTGACCATCTGATCTGATATCTCTGACTCCAAACTGAGATGTACAACATCCTGATCTTGATAACCTTCTCTGAGCAGGTGGGGGAGCCATCTCTTCCTGAGCATGCCTGGAGGCAGGGAGGGCCACGCAGAGCCCAGAGGCACAGCCCACAGAGCTGGTGGGCACAGAAGCTGGGGAGATGGAGGCTGGCAAGGGAGAGTACAAGCCACGGCGGATGTACAGTCTCTAGGGACACTTCAGAAGAAATCATTTGTGCTCAGATATCAGGTTGCACATTTTGTTTTGAGCTGAGTGGATCTCTGACCTTCTCTTTTTCTATAAAGCCATGGTCCTCAAAGTGTGACCGCCAGATCAGCTGCTTCCACCTCACTGGGGTATTGTTGACAAAGGCAAATTATCAGGCACCATGATTTCCGGTTGACATTTGGGGGATAAACTCTTTCCCAGTGTAGATGCCCAAGGCTGAGTTGCCCTCAGACCACAGAGAAGATGGTCTTTAGACAGCAGAAGCTATCAGAGAATTATGGGTGCATTGGGGGTAGAAACCACTAGACACAGTAGAGATTGTTGTAGCTAGACAAGCCTCCTGGGCACTCTCTATGGGGAATTCTTCAGTGGAGGCTGAGGGTCAGCACACTCCTCTTCTTGTTTGAAGATGTCTAGCTTAGTGTGGAAATTTCTGGCAGTGGACATGCTCCTGAGCTTGCTACACTCTCCTGCTGTCTTCCTCTGCAGGCCTGTTCTCTCATCCTCCTGGGCTCTTTGTGCCCATCATGGCTCTGTCCCCTCTTCTGCCCAACTCCCCCTCCCACCAAGATCTTTCCATCTCGCTGCAAAACGGCTCCCCTTCCCCTGGAGCACACAGGCTCTGTTCTGCCACACGTGTGTTCTTGTGCCAGGGCCCTGGGCCTTGCTCAGTCTCAGCTGGACCTTGGGCACTCCTTGGATGCTCTCAGGCCGTGCTCCGGGTCTCTGAGGTCCTCCTTCCTGAAGTTTGTGTGTGACCTCTCCGAAGATGCACCTGAGCCTCCTTGTAGTGACTTTGTAGGTTATATTCAAGCTGGACTTGGAGCTAAGGCTGGGGTTGACTACTCTTCTGCTGGCTGAGCTGTAATCTGAAATCTCCCCCTCAGTGAATATGAAGTCTTGACAATGAATGAAATCTTCCACTCAAATATGGAGGTCTTACCTCCACAAGTGACTTGTGAAGTTGGCGGAGCTGCTGACATCGGCTGCTAGAGAAGAAGACGACATGGAGGCAGGCTAGAGAGGACCTTCCTGCCACAGCTCTGGAGCATTCCTGAGGCTTCTGCTTTGGTCAGGAAACTATGTTTGGTTGCGTGTGTGCTTGCCGGGTCGCTGAGTCCCTCCCGTAGCCGTGTGGGTGCCCATGCATCTCGTGCAGTCGCTCCCTAATCTCACAAATCGTGAGGCCAGAGACAGTTGATTTAAACCAGCTGGCTTCCACTCTCCTAGAATTCTCATAATAACTTCTACAAAAGTTACTTTGGTGGCACAGTGAGCAAGGCACAGAGCTCCTGAGTGCACTTCCTGCTGCTTCTGTATTAGGTTATTATTATTAGATGCCACATGCAAGTTATGTAACCCCCATGCTCACGTATACGTTGGGGATCATCTCAGAACCAAAGTACTTAGAACCAAGTTATGAATGTTAGTGACTAGGGCATATGGTCCTTCTCTATCACGTGTTTGGGTGAGAATCCGAGTCTGTGACTATCTCAGGCTCTGTCCCTCTGCTCGTGTGGGTGTACATATGTGTTTGTGTGTGTGTCTCTGTTTGCATGGTCAGGAAGCCTCCTGTCTCTGGGTGCAATTTGCTGTTGGCCCAGGTCTGGACTCCCTGAGCCAGCCAGGGCTGATGCCGGGGATGGAATTTCCATTAAGAATTAAGCAGGACAGTGCTGGGAAGCCAGGCAGGCAGAGAGGAGGGGGCAGGGGGGGTGATGCTCAGTTCTGAACTGCCTCGGAGACAGTCTCTGCCACCTTGGTCTTGGGTTGCAGACCTCGCCGGGACCATGGCCCAGAAGGATGGGCCGGGAGAGAGGAATTGCCCGCAGGGGCCTCAATAAGGAGGCTTGGAATTGCTGTGGCCAAGATTGGAGACATGAGGCGCCCCCCTGGAAATGCAGAGGTGGCCAGCGAGGGTAGAGGCGGCTGGGGCCTATGGGGCCAACAAGCATCCTGGAGACTGGGCTGTGCCGTATGTATATGGGCAAGTGCTTGTGAGTGAGTGTGTGCATGTACGCATGGGTATTTTGGGGAATAGAGAGGGGGGAGTCTTCCTAACAACTGCCCAAGGGAACATGTAGCCTTCATACTACATGTAGTATTCTTCACATGTAGCAAACCAAGTCTATTCTTCACTAGCCCTGAAACCCAGGCAGACTCCGGACTTGGACATAAAAGGTTTCTGCGATTTTTTTTCTTAAATGTTATTCTGTTTATCATCTAAGTCTTATCCAATTTCTAGCATCCTAAAAATATATCTCAGCATTCCAGGTACTTTTCCTGATCTCATTGCATACTTCTAAAAACCTATGAGTTAGGAAGGATTATTATGATCCCTGTTAAACTATAGGAAAAGAGCTACAGAGAGAGGCTGAATGACTCATCCAAGGACTCACAACGAGAAAGTAGTGTAGTCAGGAGGCAAAGTCAGGATCTTGAGGACAAAGGCCTGAGTGTTTTTATTATGCTGCTAGATCTATTCGAAATGGCCTCAGAGGGAAGGTTCTACAAACTTAGCCCACTTGAGGAAGACAGTGACTCCAGTGTTAATGTCTGGTCTGGTGCAGGGCTGAGGGCCCTAGTTCTGGCCCCAGGCCCTGGGGTGGCTGTGCGAGACACGCACTGAAGCCCCTTTCTGGAGAGCAGAATCGGTATGTTCTGATGGATGGACAGGAGCTGAAGGTGCTGGTAGGCCCCGGAGAACTGGGATGTTTGAGTTGGGAGCTTCAGTGTGCCCAGGGCCAGGACAGTCATCTGTTGATCTGGGGCTTGAAAATAGGAATGGGGGTATGAGCATTAAGCAAGACAGACTGAGAAGGACTTTGGAGTGATTAGTATGCCACTGGAGCGGGTCCCCTTTCTGAGCTCACAGTGTGGGCATATTGCTTTATTTTACACAAGGGGAACTTGGGTTGGATAGTAAGAAGAGCTTTCTGCTAATGAGAGAGTTCAAGCTTGGGAACAGGGTCCAAGGCAGCCTGAGGACTGACTTTGCTTAATGATCCCAGAGAGTGACTCAAAGGCACTGGGAGGAGTAGGGTGCAGTTTCCTTCCATTTCAAAAAAATGCAACATTCTTGAGCTTTTGGGTAGGAATCAGGCTTCTTGTCTAGACTTAAGCATCTCACAGGAAGAAGTCTAGAGAAGTTTGATGTGCCCTAAGTTAGAAGGAGACTGCAGCCAGCCCTTGTCATTTTTGGCAGGTTGGTGATCTGGAGGGTGACTGATGTGGGCGACTTAAATTCCAAAGGGAAGCACCTGTGGTGAAGAAACCAAGTTGCCTTCCAGGCTTTTGGGGGCTTCTCGGTGTTTGGCTGCTCTCTGGGCAGGGACTCTGTGAACCACACCCCAACCCCCTCCTAGTTTTGTTTCAGCTCCAAGGGAAATGACTGTAGCTCATTCCCTTCCCCTTCCCAGATGCTGGCTGCAGGGTCAATGTGGGCACCCCAGCCCTGATGGCTCCAAGGCTCCGGGGTGCTTACCCACTGTGACTCTTGCTGTACCGGGGTGATCCAGGTCTCTAATTAGGCCTGACCACGTCCCCATTCCAGCGCTCCCCACAGAGGAGCGCTCCTATTTCCACTGCCTGGGGACCAAAATAGCTTAGCGGTCGGTCGGTCGCTGAGACTGGCAGGCAGTGGTGGCTGACAGGACAGACGGAGGCTTGGCAGGGAGCGAGCTGTTGTAGAGGGTCCTGCAGCTGCCTCTGGGTGGGCGGGGGCAGAGCTGGGCGGGGGCACGGGGCAACAGGCGGCCCCTCTGGTTGGCCAGCCCAGCTGGGCCACTAGGGCAGAGCCAGGAGCCTCAGCTGCTCCCTGCCACGTCTGGCGGCTGAACATCCCGGCTAGCTCCCTCAGAGTAAGTAGACACGCTTCCAAAGTGGGAAAGTCACTGGGTTCTTGGATTCTCTGGATTCAGCAGCTGGTCCAGGATCTGCCAGCTGAGTCCGGGACAGAGCATGCTTGCCAAGGTTGGATAGTGGGAGTGTATTAGTGTAAGTGCTTATGAGTGGGAGTGAGCGCGTGCCAGTGGGAGGGAGCGCATCTGGGCCAATAAGTCAGCATGTGGAACTTTCTAGCATGTGCTCCAGGGTGGGAGTGTGGGTGGAAAACTTGGGGACTTACATATAGGTGGGCCTGGGGTGCATGTGCCTGCATGCCTTGCGCCGTGTCTGGGCCTGGAAGTGTGCGGCAGACGCCTTGTGGGCTGGGTGCATGTGTAGATGTATGTGAGCTAACTGATGAAGGCAGAAGCTGGGGGACAAGGAGTGTTATCTGAGCTCATACTTTCTAGGGTGACCTGACTTGCCCCCACATGGGGTGTCTTTTCTGTGGGTCAGGCGGCTTTGGTTTCTCAGCAGTTTGGGAGCCCAGAGTTTGCCTTCTATGCTGGAGTGAATGAGGCTCTGATTATCCCAGGCCAGGGTGGGAGGGCTACTTAGGGGAGCCCCTCACTTACTCAGTGAGGATGAGCCTGCAGACAGCCGTGTCCACCGCCGTCACTCACAGGGCACCCTCATGCACACACGCACAGCTTTCTGTTCACACACACCCATCTTGCACACACTTTCTCTTAGTACAACCAGCAACACACACTTTCAACATGGACACCTGTGGATGATCCCATGTATGCAGCACATGGATACATGTATGAAACATACGTGTGCACCAACATACAGCCTCCTAGCGCGACCCACTCTCAGCTTCAATCCCCCTTTGAGGGGCCCTTTAGGCTTGTAGTAAGGTGGACAGTGAGTTCAGGAAACTGGCCTGGTAGGGGATACCTGAAGTCAGGGGCTTCAGCTCAGCTGGGGGTGGGTGGGGATCAGGGCAGATATGACACAGTACTTTCGTGTGTCCTGTTTGATCTGGGGCTTTAGCTCAGGGTCTGGGATTTAGAAGCATCTTTTGCCCTCATGGATGTGAAAGACCAGTCTCAAAAGACAGCCTGGGCTCTGAAGTGGAACTCAGCACCAGTAATTTGCACAAGCTCCTGCTTACCGTGTGCATGTCCCCTGCAGCAGATAAGCTGTGAGCCTTCCGTGGTGGGCCCTAGGACAATGAGCTGAATGGGGCTGATGCTTTTTTCTCTGCTTTGGTGAGATGGGACCTGCTTTGTGTCTCCTCTCAGCAGATGGCTGGAAGGGCTAGCCTGGGCTTCACTTCCCTGCTTCTCCCAGGGTTATCTCTTGTCTTGATAGAATCTTGTTCTCCCTGACCTTCACCTTCTGGGGACTGCTAGGAACATGTTCTCCAGTGCTTGGCGTTAAGTGCTACAAAACGGCACTGCTGGTTGTTGTTATTGCTTCTAGACCTCTCCCATCCTGGCTAGTCTGTGTCAAGCTTCAGTGAGGTGTGCAGATTAAATGTTCAACTTCAGTTGTATAGTTAAAAAGACATCATGGCCTAGCTTTTTTGTTAGTGTTTATGGTTTTCAGTCAAAGCGTACCTGAATTCTCACCCCTTCAATACCCCCTAATGTGTAGGGAAGAAAACTGGGCTTCAGCCATCTCCCGAGGGGTGCTGGGATCTGCCTTCTGGTCTGAACCTTGACCTGAACCTTGGGATGGTTAACTAAGGGTAGACTGCTGGATTATGGTGATGGCACACGGGTGACTGGTGATGGGAAGCCCACAGGGATTACAACTGAGATGGAAAAAGGCACAGAATGATGTAAAAATAAACTATCATATTATTTTAAAAAATCAGGATCGACTGTGATCAGCTTCGCAGTCTTCTTGCAGAGTGAAGGTGATAGGGAAGGAAGGCTTCATGCCTTGTCCAGCCTTCTCCCTTGTGGGGCCCCTCAGTCATGTTAAGACTCAAGAAAAGACTCAAAAATGGGGGTGGGGGTGTTAGGAGACTAAGTCTTACTCTCTTTCTTTACTGATTTTACTAATCAAATATATATGCCTGCCAATCAAAATTTTAGAACAACAATGAAGAGCTTCAGAACAACCCAACAAATTAACATAGTTTTAGTTTACAGAAGAAAGATTTGAAAACAGAAGATTGTAATAATAACTGCCATTTGTTGAATATTTAGTGTATGCTTTGTTTCATTTACTTTTCCTAACAACCTTCATCTGTTAGCAGTGTTATTATTTTTATTCTGGCAAGTAAATTGAGGCTTAGAGTACTCAGGAATTTCTACAAGTCTGTGTGGCTCCTGACCTCGTAACATGTGTGTTTCCTTCTAATTCTGGCTACGAGGAGACTCTTAGTCCATGGTATTGCTCCGTTCTAGTAGCTAGTTAGTTGTACTCCTGATTTTGGCTTTTAATTTCTGCTTCAATAACATTATAGTATACACATCTTTGACTGCAAACTCCTACATCCTTTATTGAAAAAAAGCAGAATAAGTAAATGAACAATTGACAATTAAGCATTCTATTGGTCTCCAAGGATGAGAACAATTTTGTATGGGTTTTTTGGGGAAGTTTCCAGTTTCAGATATTTCATATGGTTTGCAAACCATATGTCTCAGTTTTGACTTCTGTATCCTTGCACTCTGATTCAAGAACAAATCTTGGGGCTTTTCTTACTAGCAGTTCTGGGATATAATGCCCATCTCTGTGCTAGCTTAGACAATGGGGACTGTTGAGAATGAAGTGGGCCATTGATAAATGCCCCCTTCTCTGAATGTTTCAGCTGCCAGCTCCTCCTTGTCTCAAAAGCACAAGTGTCTGCATGCCTGAAGGAGTTTGACCCCTGCCCTATGCCTGGCCTGGCCTCATGGCCACCCCTTCCTCCCATGACCCCTGCCAAGGTCCAGGACTCTGCTGGGAGGCCTGTATCTCTTGGACTTGAGCTCAAGCTCCTCTCCTATGGACCGTGTGGTTTCTGATCAGTGATGTTCTTTTGGTTTTGGCGCTCAGGCAAAAACCTTGGGTTTTGGGGGGTGGTGGGACCTACAAGACTTTTCTCCTCTCTCCCTGATCAGTGAGTCCAGAAGCCAGTGTTCAGTCCTTTCT